AGCTGACTCCAAAGCAGGGCAGCATGGCAGCACGGCCCAGGAGAACTAGCCCATGATATGGCAGCAGGAGGGGCGTGGGGCTACACCCTCCAGGCCACACCCCCAGTAGGGCACCTCCTCCAACCAGGTTCTCCTCCCCACCTCACAGTTAGCTGTAAACTCATCAGCCAATGTGTATTGTGCTCTGTGATCATGTCACTCCCCAAAAGCCCCGCCTTCAAGTATGTGAGGCTTTGGGAGGACCTCTAGATAATAAACCATAACAAGGACCTTAGTGGTTATTGGTCCAACATTGAGGAAACTAAGCAGTAACTCTCCTGAAGTCACTCAGCCTCTCCCAAATCTGACCAGTGCCCTCTTAAAATTAAAGGGTCTTAGCCTGTGTAGCATTCATTGCACACCTGTAATTCTAGTGGTTGGGGACACTGAGGCAGAAGTGTCACCATGAGCTCTAGGCCAGCCTGTACTACAAAGTGTGACCCTGTCTCAGATAAATTTAATTAATTAAATGGGGGCTGAATGATACCTGAGGCTTCCTAAGAATCTAGTGCTGGGCTTGTGTTTCCATTTAGTCCTCGCAGTAACGTAGCAGCTTGAGGCCCCTTGAGGTGGTGACCTGGCCAGAGTGAAGCAGGCAGCAGTCATGATGCCACTGTGATCTGCTTGACCTACAGAGGACTTTTTAAACTGGGTATTAAATGGGTACCTAAAGCTCAGCACGCTGGTGTGTGTCAAGTGTCCCACACATATTATGTATCTGCTGCCATTAGGAAAAATGAGATTGAGTAAAATTAAAATATGCGGTAATGTTCACCCAAAGCTCTGTTATCAGTTGTGATACTCAGACTGCTTTAGAAAGTCAAACATTATGAAACCTCAGATGTTTATTTTTTTGAAAAATGGGGGAGTCTTCCTAAAGAATTCCTCTCAGCCATCAGTGGTGTCTCATAGACGCCAGACAGAACTAAGACCTCAGAGTTGTTGGTGAGCTGAAGAGAGTCGGACATCTGTCTTGTCTGTCTCTGCTCTGTTGGAGGCTCTGGTGAGTGGCAAGAGGACAATAGGGAGAGTAGATTGTGCTATCACACTGGTGTGTCCAGGTATTTTTATTTTATATTAAGGTTGAGACAGAATAGGACCCCAGTCCATTTCTCGAAGTCTCTAGTGTTGTCAGGTTGCCCCTTTAGAAATGTCTTGCCTATATATAGTTCTGGAATCATTAGCTACAGCCATTAGACAAGAGAAAGAAATAAAAGGAATAAGAATAGGTAAAGAAGAAGTTAAATTATCTTTATTTTCAGATGACATGATACTTTACTTGGAAGACCTAAAAAACTCCACCAAGAAGCT